TTGTCTTTTTTTTTTTTTTTTTTTGTCATTGTCGGTGCTGTCGTTCTTTCTGTTCGTAGGGCTACTTATATGTTCCAGCTGGCTCCTTATCTTTGTAACAAAACTGATTGTGTGCCTGTGTTTCCTGTATTCATTAATTTCTAAAATAGTGTTCTAAATTACACTACCTAAATTCCCATCCTCATTTTAGGGCAAATGGTAGAAGCAATCGCCTTTTTGTTTATAGTGAAACTATGAGAGATTTTTACCTCGTTTTTATTATTTTATTTTCTTGACTTAGGGCCCATGCATTTGCCAGAGAGAGAGAGAGAATGTGGTAAAATGACCTCCAGGGTGGTGACCACACCTCAATCTCTTCTCGGCCATTCTCTTGGGATTTGGGGCATACCAGCACATACACGCAGAGTGTTTTTCAAGCTGCCAAGTCAGGGCTTGGTACCATGTGATCGGCAACGTGGGATCCAGCCACCATAACCGCCATCTTGCCTAGCTGGCCCCAGATTTTACTTTTTGTTTGTTTTATAATTTTAAAAATAGCATTCACATTACTTTTATAATGAAGTATGTTTTTAAAGATGTTCTTTTTTCCGTTCCTAAGCTCATTATATATCTCTCCTTATCTTCATAAAAGATGATAGAAATGGAATTGATTTTGCTTCTTCCCATTCTGTTCTTAATATTGTTAATGTCATAATTGCTATTTTTTCACCCACCTATTTATCTTGAAAATGCCAGTCACAGAAAAGTTGCAGTGATAAAAAATAAACACCAATGTACTGTTCTCCGTGATCCACCCGTTACCACTCTGTCACAGTTCTTGTGCTCTTTGTTTATCTGTATGTCTGTGTGTTTGCTAGACCAGCAAAATGACTGCAGACTTTAAAACCCAAATCGAAATCAGTATGTAAACTTTTTCTTTTTGTTTTTTGCCATAGGGTGCATGTGTTTGCCAGAGAGACAGAGAGAGAGAGGGTCAGTAAGAAATCCTCCCCCAGGGAGGATGGCTGCACTGCAGCCCCTCACCTCTGTTCTCCTCTGGGCATTCTGGGCATGCATGTGCACATGCCCAGGATCCTGGCCACCAGGTCCAGAATTTGAACTGTGGTCAGCCATGTGGGATCTAGTGTCTTAACCACCATGCCGCCTACTGTCCCCAATGTAAGCTATTTAGTAGCTAAAAACTTCAGAAGATATTATGTAGCAATATCATATATCAATCACATATCACAGTTTGCCCTCCCTCCCTCCCTCCCTCCCTCCTTTCCTTTCCTTTCCTTTCCTTTCCTTCCTTCCTTCCTTCTTTCCTTCTTTCCTTCCTTCCTTTTTGAGAATATATTTCCTATAGGGTTTGTGTGCTCACCAGAGAGATAGAAAGCGAGGAATCATCTCCTAGGAGTGATGGCCACATCACAATCCCTTCTCCTCCCTGCTCCTCTCAGCATTCTGGGTACATACGCACATGTGCTTGGTGGGAGTTTTAAGGTGTCGGGTCTAGGACTCAAACCATGGTCAACTACATGAGAGTCCAGCGAGTAACCATTATGCCATCTGCTGGTCCTACCACAGCTTTTTATTAAGGGCCTCCTTCTCCTTCTGTGTATTCTTACTGTCCATCATATTCATATGGACACAGAGAAGCTCATCTAGGACATGGTACTGCCCGAACACAGTGGAAGGTGTTCTCCTTATTTGATGTGTATTTGAACTCTCAACCAAAACATAGAGCATGTTTCTGCAAGATGTCAGATGTTAACTGCACAATATTTCTAAGGTAAAAGGAGTCTAACATGGGGGCCAGCAGGTGGTGTGGTGGCTATGGCACTGGACTCCCATATGGCTGAATGTGGTTTGAGTCTTGGACCCAGTGGCTTGAAAATTACACCAGGCACATGTGCATGCATGCTCAAAATCCTGAGAGGAGTATGAAGAAGAGATTGTGGTGCACCATCTTCCCTGGGGTGGGGGAGGGGGGATGATTTCTTACTTTCTCGCTCTTGCTCTTTGTCTCTCCTATCTAAGGAAATAAAAGAATCTAATATTATTTAATAACTTGGAAAATGTTATAATAATAACCATCATTTTATAATCTCATCAGTATGTGAATAATTTTAATCTACTGCCACAGTGCTCTGGGACATTATGCCTCAGTTTGGTTCCATTTCATTCATTGGTAATTAGGTGGTAAGGCAGTTCATTCAAAGCTTGGCTTCACTACTTACTGTTTTGCTATTATCCAAATTGCTACTATAAATTATATATTATAGAGAGGTTTAATAACTTCTCCAAGGTTACACAGTAAGTAGTGAAATGTTTCAAACTTTTTGAAGGCAGACCTTACACCAAAAGTGGAAAATTCTACACTGGACATCACTTGATGGGTTGCAGTCAAAATACTATAATTCGAAGCTATTGTATAAAAATGTCTTCAGGGTATATGGTGTGTATATGAAGCAGAAATATATTTTGTATTTATGATTGGTTTCCATCCCCAAGATAGTCTCATACATGTACATGTAAATATTGCAAAACTTGAAAAATTCTGAAATCTGGTCCCAGGCATTTCAAATAATGGATACTCGACCTATTTCCAGGAAATATTTGTGAAATTGTACTTTTTTTGCACCAAACTTTTCCTATTTTTGATAAATATTAAGAGCACTCATAAATAAAACTAACAAAAGGTTCTATAAATTTAGGAAATACCACGTCAGTTGTCCACAACATTTTGTAATTTCTTTTATTCTCAAATTCAAAGGATGAATATTATGTTTTGACATGAATTGCTATAAAATAGCAGGTGACAACTATATTATTTAATAAATCCTAAGAGACATACTTAGTGGCATTGTAGAATTTTTTTTTGAGAGAGAGATTTTTGCTATTGGGCATGTGTGCTTGCCAGAGAGACAGTGAGAGACAGAGAGACAGAAAGTGAGAAATCATTCCCCCAAAGGGTTAGCCATACCGTGATCCCTTCTCCTCCATTCTCCTCTTGAGATTTTGGGGACAAAAGCATATGTACTCTGTGTGTTTTAAGACATAGGGTCCAGGACTTGAACTATGGTTAGCCATTTGGTGGTCTAGTGTCTTAACTTCTGTGCCACCTGCTCGCTCTGACATGGTAGACTTTTAATCTTCTGCAAAGTTTTTAAACAATGTCCTGTAGTTTTATTAAGGCATGGAATTTTACTTAAAGTAGGTTAGTCTGAAGCTCCATCTAGGTAACTTATCGTTGAAAGCCTTCTAACAATCTAGTTACAACAAAATCTGTGTAATTTATTGCTTTATCATACATCTCCAGAGTCTTGTGGGTGTGAGTCTTCTATAAGGATAACCTCTTAATAGTCAATCAATACTAATGAATTGATATTAAATCAGTTTTGTTGTCTTGAAATGGTCCATTTGGGATTACAAGAGCAGAAATTCTGATACTGGATGGAATAGTATACAAAGTGTCCCTTTCTCTGAATCCTTTTAGACTTCACAGTCCTTTAATAATCAAGCATTTATATTTTATTTTTAGAGTAGCATAAAATTTAATATTATAATCACAGTGAAAAATGGTGGAAAGACCACGGCTGTCTGTTACAGACGTGCATGGACTATTATATCACTGCTCTGAAGCCTCTTGCCTCAGCTATAAAATGCGAGTTATGATGTCTACTCTTCATAGTTGCTATCAACTAGTAATAGTATATATATAAAATTACTAGACTGATACCCGGCCCTGTTAGTATTATTAATAGAAATGAGTTTTGCTACTTATTAAATTTTGATAAAATTAAAATAGCTAAGGACATATTGGTTAATGATAATTTTTATCTGCTTGTACGCAACTCACTTTAATATGATACTGTTTAAAACTGAAATCCATTCTAATGTACTTTTTAAATAATATGTTTGCTATAAGCTATTTAAATACCTAAGTTTTTTCTGTTAAAAAAATAGGGGACCAGACAGTGGCATAACAGGTGCTCTTTGAGGCTGGTCCTCAGAGCAAGTTCTGGTTTGCATTCAGAGACAGCGTCCCTGGGACCAACAGTTAGCACAATGGCTATGTTGCTGGACTCCCATGTAGTTGACCGCGGTTCGAGTCCCGGACCCAGTGGCTTAAACTCATGCCGGGTGCGTGTGCATGTGCGTGCGTGCCCAAGAACCTGAGAAGAGAATGGAGAAGGGATTGCGGCGTGGCTATCCCCACTGGAGGGTGATTTCTCACGTTCTGTCTCTCTGTCTCTCTCTGTCTTTCTGGTGAGTGCGTGCGCCCTATAGGAAAAACCTCTCCACAAAAAAAAAAAAAAGAGAGAGAGAGAGAGACAACGTTCCTGAGTGCTCTGGGCAAGTGTGTGCCCAGGATTTGGGGCTGTCTGAGGTTAGGGATGTGCGCTCTCTCTCTCTTCCTCTCTCTCTCTGTCTTTCTTGCTCATGGGAGAAATAAACTAACTTAAAAAATAGGAGAGGAAAATAATAATCATCCAACAAATGAGCATTTAGGTTGACTAGAAGATAAGGAGTCTGGTTTTGCCCTACAGAGAGGAGCTGGTTTCATCTGAGGACCTGCTGGAGTGGCTGCGGCCTTTCTGTGCCGACGAGGCCTGGCCAGTGCGGCCCCGCATTCACGTGCTGCAGATTCTGGAGCAGGCTTTCCACCTGACGGAGGAGGACAGCAAGCTCCTCATGTTCTTTAGAACCGAAGCCATTCTAAAAGCCGTGTGGCCCCAGAGACAGGTAAGGGAGCATCTGACTGAAAACGTTCTCTATTGACGGTAGTGAGAGATCGGTTTTTATTACTATGAACGAGTTTCAGATGAATAATGTGCATGGTAACACAAACTTCCCAGTATTTGTCAGTCCAGCTATTTGGTAAGTGAATATATGTAATCAAATTTATTTTAATTTTTCTGTATGTTTGAATATGCAAGTGCTTAGTAGATGATGCTTCACTCACTAAGCACGGGTGCGTCATTTTCCACTTCATAGGTATCAGGGAACGGTGGTGGCTCACCCCTTCCCAGGAGGAATGCAGAACTGAACGGAACTTAGCAGGGTTATTTCTTTCGTGCTCTCTGCAGGTGCGAAATGCCCTCCCTCCTCATGTCACCTAGCTGAGTACAGATGAGCAGAGTGATAAGATCGTGGTATCTCCATACCACTCTCACCCTCTCCCTTCAAGGCTCACTTGGCCTGTCTTTCCCCAGAGCTGCCCCTGGCCTTTGGAAACTCAATTGAACCTCGAATTTCACATATTTGAGCTTTAATTATTGATTATTACTGTTATTACTCTTTAAAAATGGTGTCTCCCCACTACCGTGACAACTCTGACGCTCTGGGGGACATGCTCATCATCTCTTGAATCCCACTAAGTGCCCATACATACCTCAGAACTCAAATACTTCTCGACTGAATAAATGAAAAAGTGAATCCCTAAATCGAAGAAGTATAGTGTCTGTTGAAGTTTGGCTTCGATTCTAAATTGTTGCCTCCTAAGGATGTGAGGGTTAGGAGTCAGCAACTGTAGCCCAGTGTGTTAGTGTCTGCAGAGCACCCCGCCCCATCAGACCAGGTCAGAAGCAAGGCTTCCTGGGCAGTCTCAGCTGCAGGAGTTTTCCTGGAAAACTCCATTTTTCTTCTAGTTTTAAACCTTGTTTATAATTTATATATTTATTACTCTAGAGAATGTTGAATTTACTTTTTCAAAATGAGTCAGCTGCTAAGAGTATCTTGGGACTCATCTCTGTATCTTCATAATTACTGCCTTATATGTTTATTTCCCTTCATGAGGCAACTGGATAAATCCAATTACTTATTCTTCAGAAGTCCCAGAAGTTGAGATTCAAAAACGATGGATTTACCAAAGAAATCTCTAATTTTGCCACGTTTCTGAAAAAGTTGTCGTAAAAGAGGCACTAATGTCTGAATAATACTCTCTTTGAAGTTCTGTGACCTTACCGGTACTTTCAATCTCATCGTTTTGCTTCTAATTCTATCAGGAGACCACTCACAGCCTCTTTAAAGAACAGTTTAGAAACACAAATGCAATAAGCCATAGAATATATTTCAGGTATGGGAAATAGTAGGAACTAGAGATGTTCTTGTTTTGAGTTCATCCCTAAGGGAAACCTTGCATTAGGGCACATTATTTTTGCCATGTGGAACTTTCGGTGCTGAAGCAAGCAGATGTGACTGCACTTGTGTACTTCCTTGCCTCAACCTCCATTTCTCAAGTTCTCAGCCTTGCTCAGCTCATCTCCCTCGATTGTGGCAGCCTCAGAATGGTGAGGCTGGCTGCTCTGGTTGGAGTCTCACTTCATGTACCCCAAATCTCACAAGACAGCATAGAGACTGGGAAGGGGGAAACAGCCATCGATTTTGTCTGTCATGCCGAGACACTAGAAGATTCACTTTGGTATTTGGGTCTAAATGTCCCATAAATAATATAGGTATCACCATGATTTCCTCTTTTAAGCTTTTCTTAATGTGCCAGTCACCCAAAGAATAAGTTGTAACTTTGATATAATTTCAGAATATTTCTGGGATTTTAATTTATTATTATTGTTTTTTAGAGAGATTTTTGCTATAGGGCGCATGTGCTCATAAGAGAAACAGAGAGAGGCAGGAGAGAAAAACTGAAAAATCGCGTTGGGGTGGAGGAGCGGGTGTGGCCATGCTTCCCTTGCCCTCCGTTCTCCTCTCAGGATTTTGGGCATGCACATACATGTGCCCGGTGTCAGTTTCAAGCTGCCGGGACCAGGACTCAAAACATGGTTGGCCGTGTGGGAGTCCAGAATCTTAACTACTATGCTACCCCAAGGGATTTTAATTTTTTTTTTTTTGGAGTTTTTTTTTGCTTTAGGGTGCATGCACTCACCAGAAAGACAGAGAGAGACAGAGAGATAGAAAGTGAGAAATCTCCCCACCAGGGGGATGGCCACGCCACAATCCCTTCTCCTCCTTTCTCCTCTCGGGATCTTGGGCACACATACACATGCGCCCAGCGTGAGTTTAAGCCATGAGGTCCAGGACTCGAACCGCAGTCGACTACATGGGAGTCCAGTGACATAGCCATTATGCTGACTGCTGGCCCCGAGAATTTTAATTTCTTTACAGTTGAACTTTTTCCAAAACCAGGAGCTGTGACAGCACAGCCTCTGTGACTCAGATTCCTTTTTCATGAACTGTTTGAAACTGACTGGAATTTGCAGCTATGCACACACAGTTTTCTCTCTTGCAAAGGCCCTGTGTTACTCCTTGTTATACCAGCATTTCCTCTCTGGTGGTGCAAACTCTTTCAGGCTCTCTAGAAAACTCTCCCAGAAGTCTCTGAATTAGGAAAAGTTGTCTCATGTCTCCCTCACCTGTTTTATTTTTCTCTCTTTCCCCTATATAAGAGCAGTTTCCCTGGTCTTAGCACCTTTTGACCTGGGTTTCTTAGATATTTGGTAATAAAAATAAGAACGCTACCATATTGGCTGAATTATGCTATTCATCTATAGTCTTCTCCAAGAAATAAATCCTCTGCTCTTTTGAAATTAAGTATTCCATATCTGCCTGTCATTGCCGATTCCAGTGAATCAATAAGTTCTGTTTTATAGCTGTAAATAATACCTTGTTATTTGGAAAATAATTGCAGAAAATGTGTAGTTGCAACAATTTTTGGAATGTAACCTAACTGTGCCCATAATTCAGATAGTCTCTTAAGTTTTCTTTAAAAATTGTGTTACCTTTCACAAAAAGCAGGGCACTAGTCAACAAGTATGTCTGCCTCTCCACCCGCCCTCTGCCATTGGTTTTATAATCTTGGGGAAGATTCTCGTACTGTGCTTGTTGGCTACTTGGAACTTTGATCTAGAGCGGCTAGAGGATGGTTTGCTCACCTCGTCTGTCATTTCCTCACACATCCAACTGTGCTCTTTGCCTCTATATCCCAGACACCTTGTGTATTCCAAAATGCCGACTGTAAGGGCTCTCATTTTCTTCAGCTTCTTCCTGTACTCCTCTTCATTCTCAGAGGTACTTTAGGTGACATTAAGGATAGAGACAGGTTCTTAAAGAGTAAAGATGAGAATAGATAATGATATTGCAATGTTCAATTACCCAAAAATGTGGGACTGCTACCTTCACTGTGGCTGCTAATCCTCTTAGGCAGACTTTGCATACATCAAAGAGGGACTTAATATTTAATTATCCTCGAGGTGCCCGAAGTAGTGGCCCCACACATCAGTGTGTTGCCGGGAAACCAGCCAACTCCTGCAAAATTAAACACAGAGTCTGTGGTGCCTGCTACCTCACTGGTTCTCAGAGAGAGAGAGAGAGAACAATTTCTAGTTTTCTAATGATTAGTTAACAGAATTAAAAATTCTGAGGCCCTCATTTTTCTGTAGTGTGAGAGGCCTACATTCCCATTCCAGAAATGCGCCTCAGCTCTGGGTAGGAAGGAAGAGGACATGAAGTGTAGGGAGAGGGATAGATATACTGTGTTAATCCCCTTGGTACAGTTTATCTGAGTTTTTCAGCTTTTGTAATTTTCTAGTTAACTGGTGCATGAAGAATATGGGTCAAAATACTGATGTTTCTTTAAAAAAATTTCATACCACATCACCTCGAACTTTTCCTCCATTTTTATGTAAAAGAGAACATGTAGCTCAGAGTTTTGCCTCTTAAAATTCCAGTATGTCTGAGTTTTGTACGTGATCAACAGAAAGAATTAGCTTAAGATGACTTCTGATCTCATTACAAATTCATTTATCTTTGCCTATTTGGAAATGTGCACAAGCATATTAACCCTTCTGGTCGGAGACTAGTTTGACTTCATTAGCCAAAATATTAACAAAATATGTCCTTCTCTGTCAGAGCCCCAACACAGTAGCAAAAGTTCAGTCTATGTGGATGTATTTAGTTTCTTACAAATAATTTGCTGTTACTTTAAATGTCTTAAGAGCTATCAGTCACTGACATGATTTGCTTAACCAAATGTAGAATGACACTTGATGTTAAAAATATGTGTGGTGGCCTGGCTCCATGGCTTAGTGGCTAAGGGAACCAAATCCCATATGACTGACCTTGCAGTTTGAATTCTGGCCCCTGCAGCTTGAAAAACACACAGAGCACACATGCATACATTTCCCAGATCGTGACAGGATAGAAAACTGGAAGAGAAAAGCTGTGGTATGACTGTGCCCCATGGGGGACGGTAGTGCTTTCTCCCTTTCTCTCTCCCTTTCTCTCTCTGGTGAGCTCATATGCCCTCTTGCCAATAAATAAATGAATGAATGAATGATTAAATAAATTAATTAATTATAAAAATAAAAATACAAAAGTAAGACCACTCTTGTGGTCTAGTGGTTAAGGGAGCCAGATCCCATATGGCCAAGTTCTGACTCTGGCAACTTGAAAAATACACCGAGTACCTACTGGAGAGATGGAAGACAAGGCATCATGGCATGACCACACCTCACTGAGGGGAACTTTTTTCCTCTGTCTCTCCTCTGTCTCTGATAAGTACAAATACCCTCTGGCAATTGTGGGGGGAGGAGTAAAAAAAAATGGACGCACACATAATTCATATAGCCCTAATCACCATGAAATCACAGATTTGTGAACTGGAAGAGACTTTCAAAAGATCCCAGACCACTGGTAGTGTGGTTTTAAGGTGACTGGATCCCACATGGCTGACCGTGTAGTTCAAATCCCAGGTGCAGTGGCTTGAGAAACACACTAGGCGTGTGTGT